GGCTCTGCACTCAGGAATTACTCCTGGCAGTGCTGAATTTGGGCCAATCACGTACAAGAAAGTACCCAACTCACTATTATAATATCACTCCGACCCCAAGTGCCTTTAAGTTTTTAATATGCACATGAATCCTTTTTGAAATTTGTAATATGTAACTTCTCTTTCAGTAGGTCTGGGGTGGGATCTGAGACCTAGTATTTCTAACAGGTTTTCAAGTAATACTGTTTCTGGTATACAGATCCCATTTTGAATAGCAAGGTATGAGCAGTCATATTCGTCAGATGTGGTCATTAGTGTACTTGTATGTTGTAATGCACTCTTTAGCAAACATAGATCATGCAACTATTTGGTACTGAAAAGCAAGGTATTGGGAAGAACAGAGGGAAGTTACTAATATTCCAAGAGAATTTCTGCCAGTAGTAGATCCAATTTCTTTTTTTTTTTCTGTTTTGACTTTTGGACCATACCTAGTGGTACTCAGGGTTCACTCCTGGCTCTGTAATCAGAGATAACTTCTGGTTGGGGTTAGACAACCATATGGAATACTGGGGGTTGAACCTGGGTCAGCAGGGTTTGAGGCAAGTGCCCTATCTGGTTTACTGTTTGTCCTGTCTGCCTTCATCTATATGCTTTCTTATACATATTGTGAGATTCTTAATTTGAGTGACTTACTTAAATATGCCTATGCAAGTTTTATACAGTAGCTCTTTAGGCTATAATTTCCAGGAGGGCAGGCTGGTAAATAGAAAATGTAGCATCACTAATTATTATTCAAGGACACAATCATTGGTTAGCATTATGACAAAATTGGCAGAAGGTCTGGACAGATTGAGTGGCCTTTTCAAGGTCATGCAGTCTATTAACAATATTGCAAGCACCACAGTCTATGTACTTTATGCTCCCTTAACGCCACTATCATGCTTCCCCTGGGAGTCGAATTGTAATGAATTTCAGATATCAATATGCATTTGAATGTCTTCTCCATGCGACCTATAGAATTTTAGGAAGAGGGAGTGAGTGGCTAGGTGTGGGATATGTGTATAGATGAAGCAAGGACATATAGGTGCTAATATTTGGAGAAATCTTAGGTTTAATAGTGGTTCAGGAATGGTCCTTTGGTAAGAACATTTATACCACATTAAAAATAAGTTGTATTTAATAAGATTAATGAAAAGGAAAGTAAAATCATGCAGAATGAGGTAAAGATAGCCAAAATCAATGTCAAGGCAACTGGCATTGAAAAAAAAATCAGTGAATATAAAGAGATACAAACTTTATAAATTGAAGACTTTGTATTTCGGATCAAAAAGGTTATTGAGAAGTGGATGTTTAAAAATCATTTCAAGGTTTTTTTTTATGAGAACCAGAGTACAGCAAACAGATAAGATGCCTGCTTTGCACATGGTTGAACTGGCTTCAATTCCTGGCACCCTATATCGTTCCCCTGTCTTCTAAGAATAGTTCCAGAGCATGGAGCCTGGAATAAGCTCTGAACACTGCTGGGTGTGGCTCAAAACAAGAAGAAAAAAAAACATTATATGCTTCTTATTTTTATTCTCTCAAGTAAGCATTGAACTAATTAACATCATGAAAGTAAATGATTAGACGAGACCTGGAATTAAAAATTGATATCTTTTATTATCTTCATAACTTTGGTATATGAGCTGTTCTCTTTAAGCTTTTCACAGAGTTATTTGTAAGGACTTGATGAGCTAGTCTATATAAAATATCTGGTCCCATATAAGTTAGATAAAATATCAGCAAATATAGGAGAAAGGTAGAATCATCAGTTTCAAAAAATGCCAAGGGTTCTGGGGCTGGAGTGGGGAGGACTTTTGCCTTTCCCGGCATCCCATATGGTCCCTGAACACCGCTAGGAGTAGTTCTTGAATGCAGAGCGAGGAGTAACCCCTGAGCATCGCCGGGTGTGACCCGAAACACAAAACAAAATACCAAGGGTTTTGAAACTCTTTTTATAGTTTGTAGAATGGCATGAGCAAAAAGAGATTTCCCTGATTGCAGTTATCCGTATTTGCCAGGGTTAATCATGGTTCATGACTAGTCTGTGTGGTTCCAAATTCAAGAAACTTGGCTTTGGTTTCCAGACGAGAGACAACTGGATGTGGAACATATGGTTAAAGTTTATAGGATGAGAAATGTGAATATTGTCAAATAAAACTCTGTCTAGTTTTATTTGCCTGGAGTTATATGTCACATCTAGATATATTGACTGCTGTGTTAAGGTGCAGAAGCAAAAACGGGACATAGGAGATAAGTGATAAATATAAGAATCAGAGAAACTATCATAAAACATGTAAGAAACAATATCAAAACATACTAAACAAACTAGAATGAAAAAATGTCAGAGATTTCAGGGAGTCCAAGTCTTAAAAATACTTGTCAAATAGAGGATCATTAAATTCTGGAAATTCGTAGAAATTAAGAAAGGAAATACTGGTGGAGAAACAAATAGAAAACACCAGTAAAATTACTGTTGTAATTGTACAATTACAAATACAATTCTGTTATTGCAGATATTTGATATCCAACAACCTAGGATTTCTTCTCCCCTCCCCCACTCCACGAGAGTGTTCTGAGTGAGACTCTAGGTCATCTGATCTGTTGCATCTTTCTGATAGCAATATAGTGATTGAGTAGTCAATTCTCTCTGGCAGGGGAAGTCTGTTAGCATAGATGTGTCCCTGGTGAGCTGTCCTCTCTTTATCCAGAATTCCATGTTGGGTTTGTAACCTGGTGGGACCAAATTATTGGAATTTTGATTTCCTTCCCCACAATGAAGCAGGGGAGGAGAAAATGTAGTATTTGGAGAAGAAAGAAGGAGAAACGGGAAGGATAAAGAAAAGTAGAGGGACTGGAGAGATAGCACAGCGGGTAGGGCGTTTGCCTTGCATGCGGCGGAACCCGGGTTTGATTCCCAGCATCCCATATGGTCCCCTAAGCACCGCCAGGAGTAACTCCTGAGTGCAGAGCCAGGAGTAACCCCTGTGCATCGCCGGGTGTGACCCAAAAAGCAAAAAGAAAAGTAGAAAGAGAAGAAGTCTGGGCAGTGTAGGATCATGACCAGATACTAGGCACCTTCTTGATGGCCAGTACTGAGAGGAACCAGCAACTGCCCGATTGTGTTCTTGTGTGGAGTTTCCTACTGGCACGAGGTTCTCAAGTGTATAAGCAACTGTGTGATTTTAAACAGTATTGGTTGTTACATGTGTAATTTTTCCTCCTTGAGAGAAAGACTTTCTTAAGTGGGAAATATTTCTCAGCCTTTGGGAGACAGAGGCATTTCTCAATCTATATGTATATATATATACATATATATACATGCATATACATATATATATTTCGATATGACAACTGGGAAAATCTATTGAAAAGAGCTATTTCAGAAGAGCATTTATTCAAGACTCAAAATATATTAGGTGGTTTATAGAGCGGAGAGATAGATATCCTCCCTTAAGGCGTAGCTTGTGACAGTCGACATTGACTGAACAGAGCTAATTGACTATTTTCTGAAAGGAAATGGAGTTAAGAAGAATGGTTACGCTAAAATGCTTAAACAGAAAACGTGTCACAAGTTTTGTTGAATTTCTGTTTGGAATGGATTTTGTAAGCTTCTCAATCATTTTCTGACATTTTTCAGCATTACAAGGCTTTTGTATTTGTGAAGCATCATTTTGAAATTGTCCCAAACTAGATTGTTCTCTCCTAGGCCTCTTTGACCCAGTTCTCTCCCTTTGTCTCCTCTTTCCTCTTCTCTCCTCTCTTATTTTCCTTCTCTCCTCTTCTTATTTTGTCTCTCCTCTTGTATTTTTCTCTTTAAACTGACATCGAGGACGCATTTATGAACCCTGCACATCCTCTTTCTCAGGCTAACTGCATCTCAACTTGAGAAGTATAGTCCTTTTACTTTATTACCAGCTCTTTCCTCTCTGGAGAAGCCTACATTTTCTCTTGAATATCTCTCTCTCTCCCTTTCTCTCTCTCTCTCTCTCTCTCTCTCTCTCTCTCTCTCTCTGTGTGTGTGTCTCCCCACCCCCCTCTGTATATGTGTCTGTCTCTCTCCTTCTCCCTCTGTGTATGTGTGTGTTTTTCTCTCTCCCACCTTTATTTTCACCATAAATTCCTGAAATAAAATTAATTCATCTCAAACAAGAGCAAAAACTGAAGATATTTGTGAACCTTGAATAATGAAAATGTTAGATACAGCTGTTTTGATAACAAGTTGATGAAGTATACTTGCGTTTGACCCAAACTCAAACTTTGAATAGAATCCAACGTAAGGAAAAAGACTCATAGGGAAACCCAAGACAAATCAGAATGTTTGGGATTAATTTCTGCAAGTACTTAAATCTCTTTTCTCTCTAGACTGACTATTACGTACTTTTTACTCTCTTTTTTAAATATTCCCATATATATATAGCTTTTATGTGAAGTAGGGTATTTCCCATAGCTCCCAAACTGATGTATTATAATGTCAGTCTCTCTGTACCTACAGAGAAGTTTAAATCTCTATTGTTGAAGGAGGAAACTTGTTTGCTACCTATTTCTACTTCTTTCAGATTACAGTTATGTGGACTTGGGGAAGTGGAGATAGTGTCCAAAGAAAAAGATCATATGTGGATGTGACAAATTCCTGTATTCTACTATACACAGAATGAGAATGCTTATTGGTACAGGAATGAAAGTTTTACTGATTAAATGCACTTGCAAGGATACAAAAACAATGTTTGGCCAGATGAATTAGAAAGTTTTGCCATCTAAACCTCATGATAGATTTTTATGAGTTCACTCATATAACAACTGGTACTAAAGTAAGATTAATTTCAATGATTTTATTTCAGGACTAATTTTATATGCTTACAGAATGCTTTAAAATTTTATAAAATTATAAATTTTGTTATAACATCTCAAAGACTTGATTCACGTATTTATTGTAATAATGTTCATTTTTTTATTTAAAAAATTATTTTATCTTCATGCAGACTAAACCTGGAGTAATTCGCCCAGTACCTATAAAATCCAAAATATTACTGAAACAAGAAGAAGAGATCTATGAGCCCAACCCATTTAGTAAATACCTGAAAGAAAGCACAGAGCTCTTTTCTGAACAGGTGAGTATACCTGAGAATTTTGTTTATATTTTGATAATATAAAGTAGTACATTTGCATATCATGTATGTAAGAACATATTCATTTGGCTGAACTTTAGTGATGATAGATCCATTTTTGCATAATTAATGTTCTTAAATATTTTCATAATGTTTTAAAATATTTTGAAGTCTTTAAAACATTTTCTCTGTAATGCTGGCATTATATTAGGACCATATCATCTAATTCATCGATTGCTTTGAGCAGGCCCTAGTAACGTCTCCTTCATCCTAGCCCTGAGATTATATTCAAGGCTCTTTAGGAGAATGAGACCCATCATTGTTACTGGTATGCATATATCATCTATATACATATCATGAAATTGCTGATTATACTTGTCATATATGTAATTTTTATTTCTAAAATTCTTCGTTTCCTGAAATAGAGATGGCATTTTAGATAAGGTATACTACTATCTTGGGCTGGAGTGATTGCACAGAAGGCAGGGAGGGTGTTTGCCTTGCACACAGCCAACCCGGGTTTGATTCCTCCACACCTCTCGGAGAGCCCAGCAAGCTACCGAGAGCATCTCGCCCACAGGGCAGAGCCTGACAAGCTCCTCATGGCGCATCTGATATGCCAAAAACAGTAGCAAGTCTCCCAATGGAGACGTTACTGGTGCCTGCTTGAGCAAATTGATGAACAACAGGAGTACAGTGCTATCCTACTACCTTAGACAAAAAACCTACTGTTTTTATATTAACATGGAAGAAATTATGTGGTCCTCTAGATTTAATAGTATAGATTTAATAGTAAGGGGATAATGGCCAAAGTTATTCAAGACTATTTGCAGTCCCTTAGAATGAACCTGAGTCCTGCAATGGGCAAGAAAAGTGCTTTACATGCATCACACCAACCCCAGCAAAACATTTTTATCATATACAAAAATACTACTAAAATCTATTGCCTATATGACATTGGGCTGGAGCGATAGCACAGTGGTAGGGCGTTTGCCTTGCACGCAGCCAACATGGCCGACCCGAGTTCGATTCCTCCGCTCGAGAGCCCAGCAAGCTACCGAGAGTATCTCGCCCGCAGGGCAGAGCCTGGCAAGCTCCCCCTGACGTATTGGATATGCCAGACACAGTAACAACAAAGTCTCCAATGGAGACGTTACTGGGCCCACTCGAGCAAATCGATGATCAACGGGAGGGCCTTTACCTTTACCTATATGACATTGATATATTTAAGCTTAATGTGACCTTTTAGACAGTATTATATCTTTTATTTTTGTATTCAACTAGACAATATCATATCATTATAATGTTTTTTGTAAAACTAACCTTATAATCTAGTCTTATATGACAAAAAATGCCAACAGTTAAAATGAATTTCACATGATTTGCATACTTCAAAATACAATTTTATAAAATAATAATTTGGGGTCTGGAAATACAATGCACCAAATAAGGCACTTGCCTTGCACACAGTTGATTCAAATTCCATCCCTAGTAGCCCACATGATCCTCCAGCGGTCCACCTGTGACTCCAAAACCAAAATAATATTTTTGTTCTTTTTATTTGTATAATTTTAATTTTTTTACATTTTACTTTAAATGTGATTCATTACAAAATATCAAATTAATATATATTACCACAATTTACAAATCTTTGAATTAATAATTTAAATTTTCAAGTATGGGAAATTCTTGTCATTAAAAGGAGTCAACATTTCTTTTCATTGCTTCTTCTGACAGGAAGTTTAAGGCCCTGCTTAGTACAATATAAACCTTTGTACTGCACATACGTGATTGAAAATCTGAGCTCTTTTGCAAATATTAAGGTGCTACACACATAATTGCATTTGTATTATCGTTCAACCAATTTATCCTTGTGTGTAGCCCAACTTCCGTAGGGAGCATGAAAAGTAGTGTGTCAGCCTGTAGACTTTCAGAACTGAAAGTCTAGATATTACTTAAAAGTGAATACCAAACAATCTTTGATCTTATGTCTTGATGAATGGGAAACTGCAATAGGTACTATTGATACACTGACAAGCTGCAGCTTCTATCAACTCTTCCCTTTATATTGAACTCTGCCATCTGGTTGTGTTCACTCAATTGGACACCAAGATAGGTCACAATGTAAAATGTTTAGATTTACTTAAAACGTAAATTGAGCAACAACAATTTGTAAGGTCAGCATTGCTACTACTGTAGAACATCAGTAAAAGAGAATATACTCAAATTCTAGTTCTAGCTACTATTGTAATAGAGTGGTGCAAACTCTCTTGATTTCACCCACCCATGTAATGGAAATTAGTTAGGCAGACAGTCAGGCCAAAATGAAGCAGCTCTCATTCACTAATCTGCCTTAGACTGGGGAGTGTTCCACATGACAAGAGATGTTGGATGGGATTGTTAAGTCAATAAATTCCTACAAGCAGCTTCACTGCCATAAAATATGATTTTGAAACCCTCTATTACAAAATGTCAGACACTAAAGATCCTGAAACCAGATGGAAATGTATTTACTGTAGCTTAAGAGGGAACAACTGGGCAACCTTTTGAACTGATAATGAAGTGAAAACTTGCCTAGAGACAGTCTCTGAGTACCAAAAGCAAAGTTTGAAACCAAATGCACAATCAAAATAATTGAGACTTATTAATCAACTATTTTTACATCAAAGTGCCATAGCCTAGGAGACATTATTATACAGAGATGTCATTTTTAACAAACACTATTCTGAACAAAGCTTATGCTTTTTTTTTTTTTGGAAATTACCTTTCAGTCCATTATTATATCAGCTTTTACTCCTTTTGAGGGACTGCAAAATTTCCTTACATTCCACTTATAGATTTAAAACTAAGTGATGTGCTTTGAAGGATAATTTTATTGTTAATTAAAGGCAGGGTTGGAACATAATTAACAGAATTGATTGGGAAAATGGGCATCCAGACGATATAGAGACTTAGAAAATCAATCCATTGATGTGAATGAAGACTCTAAAAAGCCAAATGGTTTTTAGTTTGACTATTTTGAGTTTGCCACTGATTGCCTTCTGCTCATTTAATGTACCATGTTAGATAAAGGTGATTTGAAATTAGTAACTGAACCCGTGATGTTAGGTCCATTTTCTCTCTTAAAGCCCTAAACAAAAGCATAAAAAATACATCAGAGAATTAAGTCAGGGAACATTTTCTTTTATGATTTGCTCACATTTAAAATATACATTGCAGTCTGTAAACATTGAATAACGTACATGTTTTAAAGTGTTGATGGGATCCCAAACATAAAAGTTGTAAGTTTGAAGACGTGTTCTAGATAGGAGAGAGAAACCCTTTCTTCCCCTTCAATCCAAGATAAAGTAATTTGAGGTAAATAAATTAGGTGGAAAAAAATAGAGCTAATGAAAAGAACAACCATAAGAAAGCATAGGAGAGAATTTGGCACAGACTTTTGGCACAGACTTAAAAATGGAAAATAAACTGATTTTTAAAATTCTGTTTTGAGGGCTTGGGGGTGATATTCCCTGCAAATGAGCGAATGAAGAATTGAATCAGTGGTGCTGTTCACATGCACCAAAGAGAGTTCTGACAGCTGTTATTTGGAACCCCCAGTTCACAAAGCATGTGATCTCTGGCTCACTGTGTCCAGGTCTTAAATAGTACTGCACTGTCTATAGCACTGTCCTCCCATTGTTCATCGATTTGCTCGAGTGGGAACCAGTAATGTCTCCATTGTGAGACTTGTTTTTACTGTTTTTGGCATATCCAATATGCCACGGGGAGCTTGCCAGGCTCTGCCATGCAGGCCGAATATTCTCAATAACTTGCCGGGCTCTCCGAGAGGGACAAAGGACTTGAACCTTGGTCGGCCGTGTGCAAGGCAAAGCCCCTACCAGTTATGCTATAGCTCCGCCCAGTTCTTAAAAGTTCTTAAAAAAAAGAAATAAATTATTAAAAACGTTATTCAGTGTCTGCAGAGGAATGCTACAAATACTCCTGGAACGAGGTCAGCAGTAGGTTTGTAAATTCAGAATTTGTAATTTCTTAGGGACTGGAAAGTTTATTTATTTATTTTAAATTTTTACTTCATAACTCTGTGAGGTTTATGAGTTATGAGGTTTGAGTTATGAACTCAGATTTGAGTTCTTCAGAATAGTATGCTAGGTTCTGGATTAATTGTTTTGGGATTTTGAGCAGCTGCAGTGCAAGTGTGTAGTCTTGAGCTGAACTCTTGGGTGGCCCACGTGCAGCATGAGAGATGCCCTTGCCACAGCCTGGGGGGGGGGGCAGCAGTACTACTGTCTGCCAGCCCTGCCCCCACAAGCAATTCCCAGCTTCCTACAGTGACAGATAAGCACCACACACAAGGGGTACAAGGCTTAGTGAGCACTGCAGCTAGAGAGATGTGCAAGTGACAGCACCAGGAAGTGTGATGTCAAGAGGGCATTTGTGTAGGTACTGCACACACCTCCAGGGAGCAGCACAACCATTATTTCTGTCTTCCTGCAAGAATGTGGCATGTGGTGGGGCACGTGCATTCTAACCTCTACCCACCAATGGAGGGAAAGGAAGGAGGATTAAAAAGAGAAAGAAATCACTTACGCATAATATTCCGAGCTCTGAAGGTAGACATTCTAAGTGAAATTTAAACTTAGAGTTCAGTCATCAAATATTAACTCATCCTATTATAGAGTTTGACCTTCAACACTTTATTAATCTCTCTTTTCTCTGAATGTAAAAAATACCTTGGATAAAATAAAACAAAGCAATTCACCTGCATGGCGAATTCCTGAAACATGCATGCATTTTCATGGGCTCTGGTGTGTCAGAAGAATGATCACTTTCCTGCCTTTCTAGGCTATTTCCCCATTTCCTTGTATTTATCTAGTTGTTGATTTTCAGAACAATGTAGAAAAGATAGTATGTTTTTTTTTAAGTCAGTAAGTATGAGAACTCTTAAAATACAGGTCACTGGATTGTTAATTCCCATTCAAACCCTAGTTATGAGTCTGAAA